AAATTAGTCCAACTTTTCGGTTGGTAGGCAACTTTTCATTTGTAGGCTAAGAATGTATTTGCTGTAGGGAGGGATAAGGAATCTAAATCTATAGCATATGAACATAATAGTCTATCTGCCTTCTCCAGCAGGCTACAAGCTTTGTACTATGCCAAGCGGACTTTTGTACCACCTAGGGACATTGTTTTAAATATTCCCGACATGGCCCGATATATCTCCCGATATATCCTTTTACAGGGCTTGCCGCAACCGATATGGTCTTTAAATATCCTTTAGCGTTTTTTGGCTATTTTGAGTGATAAATCCCTGATATGACCGATATATTAGCCGATATGTGGACCAATATATCTTTTTATATAGCTTGTTATAAAATAATATACCGTGTTTGGAATTTTTGGGTGAGATATCAAGATTTCACCATTATATCAAATGATATTTTGCCCTAAAAAAGGCAGAACGAATGTTACAACGTTGCTTTGCACTTTTGTTTGTTTTTGAAGGTTGATTAGTGATCCTAAACATGTATTATTCATATTTTGTATGCTTAAATTTTATTACATATGTTGAGATTACATTTTAATGTATTATACTATGTATGCAAACATTCATTATGATATCCGATATTTACCACATATCCCCGAAATTTCCCCGATATCCGCAATCCGATATGAATTCTGGCCATCCGATATTTCCCCGATATCCGATATTTAAATCCTTGCCTAGGGATTTAAATATTGATAGTTGACATAAAAAGAAAATGATAGATGCTATCCATAGAGCCAAATTTGATTTAAGTAGCAAACAATAAAATAACCAACCCTTTCAATCCGAAATCTTTGGGGGTTGTCCACATGAATTTGTTTTCTTATATCATGATTTGAGCAGTACATTACCCCACACACACACATACACACAAAATAATCATACTTTGACATATTTTACGGGTTACATTTTCTGTTTTTGCCTTATAATGTAATAATATGCCATGCATCAACGTGGAAGACCTTTTTCTCTTTACGTTCTTTTTTTGCATATACCTTAATGTAAAGAATTCTATGGTAAGGCACAAGGCTCGCGTTACAATCATTAGCTTACTATTTTTACTGACTATTATATATATCTGTTTTATGGTAATAAAGGTTAATTTGATAAACACTGAACAGATTTTGATATTTCACAGTAGTCTTTTCAATGTAGGATTCATGCAAATATCATAGATAATTGTGTATTATATTGGGGATCTTACAGAAGCTATGTTCCTGCAGGATATAGATATCATTGTTGAAGCTCTTCCAGCTCTTGAAGTTCTCAACTTAACAAACAACTTAATGGAGCATGATTTAACAGAACTTCCTTCACTCAAGCGCATTCGAATTTTAGTTCTGAATAACTGCAGCATTACTTGGAAGGAGGTGATCTCTAATTAGATATTAACTTTGCTGCCATCCACCATTTTTGGTCAAGTCACTAATTGTTGCTATTTGATTTTTAACAGGTTGAAGGGTTTAAGCAGTGGCTTCCGTCAGTTGAAGAGCTACATTTAATGGCAAATCAGTTAAGGGAAATTACAGTAAGCTCTGGATTTCTTCTATCTGTATCATTGTTAGAATTTCTTGCAGCAGATTCAAATGTTCATAATCTACAAATGAAATGGGAAGCGGACATGTTCCATTTAGAAAGTTCCGCTGATTTTTTATTTTAATTTAAAACTTGCATCAAGCTATTTATTTCCTGCAATTTATATGTTGAAGAGTCATCAGTATAAATGTGCTCTGAGCACAAATTTAAAATTTTAAAGTTTTGCATCTGTAGACGCAATGTTCATTTCAGTCCTCCTTATCATGATTTAGGAATCTGACTAAAGTGATGATGATCACCTGTCAACAACCGCAAGTTCGTGGGCCCGGTTGAAGGAGACGCACTGTTTATTTTCTCTGGAAAATGATTAATAATAATACAAAAATGGTGTATGACATAAAAGAAATTTATTATTCTAATCTCATGTCACACTAGACAGTGGATTTCCATCTGGCAACTTGCTGTTGCAAAATTTTTCCAGCAAATGCTACACTAGGTGACTAATTGAATATCTTTTTACAGCCTGCACCATCAGCACCAAATATCAGTACCACTCAGAATTTTGATTCATTGCGGCTCTTAAACTTAGAAGACAATTGCATCAATTCATGGGATGAGATTGTTAAGCTTTCTCATCTCAAAAGGTAACATTTGATGTAACCTATAGCTTTTCACTCTGGTTAAATATGTGTTTCTGTTAGTAAATTAATGAAAATGATATGTGATTTTAGATTGGAACAGCTTCATCTGAATAAGAACAAATTGAAGCATATCTTCTTCCCTGCTGTGAATCATTCAGGTTCTAAACTAGTAAACACAGATAAGCGGCAAGATGGATGTTCCATGCCTTTTGGGAGTCTGCAATGTCTTCTTTTAGGTATTTTCCAGAGCTAGTATCCTCTGCTCCGTGATGTTTAGATTAAATTTAGATACCTTTAGTGTTCATGATAAATGTTCCCATCAACATTTTCAGAGGCAACTTAGGTTTTTTTCCTCATGACTAACCAGTAACAAGCAACTGTCTCAGGATGTAATGAGATTGATGATCTGCTCTCTATAGATTCACTCAACTTTTTTCCAAGTTTGGTGGTGAGTTCATTTTCTTTGAATAGTTTATGCTAATACCTTTAAGGATTTTAAGTTATAATAAGCCATTTCATTGATTTGACTTTTTAGAGTTTACTTTTATGCATGTGCCAAAGGGGACAAAGCTTGTGCAGTTGTATGATACGATAATGTACCTTCTATGAATACATACATACATACATACATACATACATACATACATATATGTATATAGGTGTATATATGTATATACATACATATATATGTATATACATGTATGTATGTACACACACACACACACACACACACACACACACACACACACACACACACACACACACACACACACTATATATATATATATATATATACACATATATATATATATAATATAAACTCGTTAACCTTCTTTTTAATGTCCTTTTGAAAACATTTGTTAGCGTAATGTCCCTTTTTTTACCTTTATAACATGTAAGAGTCTTTGCAATATTTTTTCTAGTTCCTTTTAGGAGGTTTTCTTTCAATTTTATTATTCCTAGGACTCTGTGTTTTTCTATAATTCTTAGGATTGTATTGTGTTCCTGAATTTTCCATTTGAAAACCAAACTAATAGCAAAAATCTCCCAATTCCAATCGTGACCAGGACTGTTTTAACCTTGATACAACAGAGCTAGCTCGTGGGGAATACTGTGTAGACAGAGTAGAGGATATAGCTATATCTTCTTCTTCGTTCACAAATCGTGACTGGGACTGTTTTAGCGTTGATACGACAGAGCTAGCTTGTGGGGAATACTGTGTAGACGGAGGAGAGGATATAGATACTGTTTATAGCTATATCTTCTTCTTTGTTCACATGTATATCAAAAGGGAAAGGAAAAACAATAAAACAGTAAAGATGGAAGCAAAAGAATATACAAGGGATGCAAACTAAATAGTAGTATTAACAAGAGGTACACTTACATACTTGATTATTCTTCTGTTATAAATAACAAACAGAAATAAAGTCTTGACTTAAATCTTTGAGGTCAGCTACGTGAATCTCCTACCTTTCTCTTTTAGGACCCATCTTCTTCTATATTAACTACCAAATCTTCTCTTTTAACTTTCTCCATTTGAGTTTGTTTAGGTGACATGACTGTTAATTTGCACACATGTAGGTTTAATTGCACATGTCCAGATCATCTCAGTTTTGCTGCATTATATCATATATTGAAGCTACCTCTAATAGTAACCTCCCATTAGGAAGCTCTTCTAAAACCATCTATATGAAAGTTATAGCTTAGTTAATGAAGTTCACCACAATGTATGTTACGCTGTAGCGCTTATTTATGCTTTTCTGTGAACGTTTCATGAAAACATATTGCACGTATCAATTTCTTTTCTGCATTCTTATTTTGTTCTTAAAACTAAATAGTGTTTCTTGAGAACCATTAATTAAGAACAAAACAAAGTGCCAATTTGGCTTTCCTGTAATTTGACATCCTCTTGAGATAAATATGAATGTCTGGTTCAGTGCATTTGCCGATTCCAATTACAGCTGTAGCTGGAGTCAGGATTTCCTATTGTAATTACTCCACTTACAATAGCAAAATTTGTAAGAATGTGTATCACCTTTAGTCTTAAAACCATTATGTAGTCAACACATTCTTCTTGCCCTTATTTATTAGATGCTTCCATTCCCCCCCGGAGTTTGTTGTGATTAAGGTACTGCTACTGACACCTAACTCTGAGTGTTATTTATTTTTATTTATTTGATTCTAGATTGTGAGGAAATTTTTTGCAAGTGGTATCTATCAGCAGTAAGTACTTTATTTGATTACATCTTAGAGCACTTTGCTTGTATTGTTCCCCAGTATTCTGCTACCCTTTTGCATGTTAATGCTTTCATCCCCACTCGAGTCTTTGTCCGAAATATGTTAGGAATAAGATTTGTGCATCACGACAATTTGGACTTTGCATCATTAACAATGTATGTATATATAGTTTTGCGTCTAAATGCAACTATAGAATGTAAAGTTTTAAAAAACCCCTCTTTCTTTTACTGAGGGAAAGACAAAGCTGCTCATTCTCATTCCTTGGTACAGAAAATAGAGTTGTGATTCAGAGAACCAGAATAGAAGTTAGGCTCTTTAAGTATCACCTTTGTTTCACTGTCATCAGACACAATTTACTACATTCTATCATGATAGTAACAATTTGCATGTTTTGAAGGACATCAGACTTTCTGATAATCCTATAGTTGATCAAGCTAAAGGTGGGATCCCAAGATTTGTTCTGATTGCACGTCTAGCAAAAGTCAAAATACTGAATGGCAGTGAGGTACCATCTGAGGTTCTATCTGCTGTTAAGAATTTGTAATCCTATTGTTTAGAGAGACTGTTCAAATTCATGTGGTATTATACTTTTCATATCCAGGTTAGCCCACGTGAACGGAAGGAATCAGAAATTCGGTAAGCTGATAGAATTGTCTGCTACCGGGTTCTCTCTGGTTCTCTTAGTGCTTTTTCATTGACTATTTTCTCAATAAGTTGTTTACAACTTCAATATTTTATTAATTTTTCAGAAGAGCACTCTTCAATGTTCACATATGATATTTTCAATTTTATTTATTTGAATGACATTGTTCTTGTTCATAAAATTCATGTCTTTCCATTGGAAACCACTGTTAGACCCTAATGCCACTAGGAAAGAATCTTAGGGGGGTGAATAGGGTTTATGCTAATCTAATCCGATTTAATGCCCATTAAAACTAATTAACAAGTTATCCTAGCAAATAAGATATGCAACAATTATATGCAAGGATAATCAATATAAATAAAGGGTAAAATAAACAAACTGTAAATGTGATAGGGCAATATACACAAAGAGTAATAGACAATGGCGATATAACTTATAAGATAAACACAAAAGAAAATACATAAATGACAAACTCAAACACAAACAAATGATCACGGAGTTCGGACTTTCTATCCTATGTCTCCGCTCCCTACTTCCGGGGAGAAATTCACTATCACACCGGGTTTCAACGCTCACCCGAAAACATTTACACCACACAATATCGGTTTTCAACACTCACCGATCAAAGTTCACAATCACTTACAATGTAACTACACATCTACCACCTCAAGTGTTGGCCTCTCACGTGTCTTCATCAAGTGCTCGGAATTATTACCTCTCACTAGGTTTTACTACCGATGTCACTCATCTTGTGACCGACCACGTCTCTCACCTCTACACTCCTCTTGATGTACTTGTGCAATACAAAGTGAATCCTCACAATTAGGCTTAATACAACAAATATTTGTTCTCTACTATGGATGAGAACACAATAAAAGCTCACACTCTAAGTCACAAACCTACAACCCCAAATTATACTATGTATGCAAATACAACAAGCTCAATGGTTGTGTGTGAACAAAGAGAAAATCAAATATAAACTCAATGTAAACACTAGCATAATGAAGATGATAAACAACAAATAATTAATGCAAAGCTAGTATTAAGTTTAGAAATTCTTCTCTGAAAAATAAGATGGAGAGATGGAGATTGAAGCTCAAACAATGAAGATGATCTCCTCCATTTGTGAAAACTTCTTCACAAACAAAACTAACACTAAAACAAACTTAAACCCTTGTTAAACTTTTGTAAAGTTGTATAAACAATTTTCTTAAATAATAATAGAACTCGGTATAAGGGAGTATATATAAGAGATCCTAAAACACAAGAAAAACCCAGCAAAAGGACAAAAAACCCCAAAAAATAAGGAGTCTAGAAAACTAGCCGTTATGCAGTTATAAGTCGACTTGTTATAATAATAAGTCGACTTGTAAATGTCATAAGTCGACTTGCTATAAGTCGACTTGCGTTGTCTGATAAGTCGACTTGCCAGCGGTAAAATGAACATTCCAGAACATTTCATAAGTCGACTTATCAACCCTGATAAGTCGACTTATGAACATGCACAGAGACTGTGCATGTTCAAAAATTAACTTTGAAACCTTAATTAAAAATAGCAAATAAAATCAGAAAAATATAAAACTTTGGGAAATGTTTATAAACATGATAATAAACGTGTTACAATTTTTTTTTGGAATTGTACTTTCTAATAGTAAAAACTCATCATTTTGTAAAAATGTACAAAGTACATCTTTTTGTTATTTTGACTTAAACAAACTTTTAAAACCTTATAAAATAATTTTATAGACTTAATAAAAGATGTATATAATGATTGTTAAGTCCATAAACCAATAACACGATATTTTCGTAAAAACACCTATATTTTGATAAAATCAATAAATATGTGTGTGTGTATGATATTGAGCTTAGAGTATTAAACACACATAATATAAAACCTAAACTAAAAATACCCAAGCTGTGTGTATGATATTGAGCTTAGAGTATTAAACACACATAATATAAAACCTAAACTAAAAATACCCAAGCTTGATGTTCTTCAATATGGTTAGAGTATTAAACACACATAATATAAAACCTAAACTAAAAATACCCAAGCTTGATGTTCTTCAATATGGCTTGACTTGGTAAACTTGAATGAAGTTTGAATTTGAATTTTTGACTTGAATTGCATTGCTTCATACCGATATTCCGCCAACCTCCATTGGATATGATCGTTGAAGAGCAATTCCATCCAACCTCCGACATGGATATTTGTGTAGATTATCTAACAAAACAAATACAAATACTCGACATGTTAGGAATTGTTTGTAATCATCAAAACAAGATTAGGGAATAGGTTCATAAACATGAGGCTAACAATCTTTCCCTTTTTGATGATGACAAACAATCTACAAAAAGAGATATAAAATATGCATGATACAAAAGAATATATAAATCATAAACATCATGCATAAAAATCAAAACTATACTCATAATATTTCTTCCTATTTGACAACATCAAAAAAGGAAATGCCAAGAGAGCGAAGGCTCCCCTACAAATATGCATGGGTAAGTATAAAAACAATAATAGAAATAGGGAATGCTTCCCCTATCAAAAAACCTTAATATATGCAATGAAATGCAAGGCAAAACATGTGAGCAAACATAGATGAAAATGTGCTAAATGTAACTCACATACAAAATGACAATGAGGACACATAAGGATATATTAATATGAAAAGGTGTGTCTCAAAACACAAACATAAAAACAATGTATAAATAGATTTATAAAATCAAAAGAAAGAAAAACATGAGAATCATAAAAAAAATTCAAATGAAAACAAATCACTCAAATAAAATCATAAATAAATGAATCCAACCAATATCAATTTCAACAAGAAATCAAGAGAGACAACCACATCAACTCATATAAACATATATCAGCCGGTAAACATGAAACAAATCCGGGGGGTTGCTTAAACACAAACCTCTCATAAAAAATCAAAACCAATAAAATGAAAACAAAGGAATTTGACTAAAAAAATTGTTTTCATTTACAAAAATTTCAAGACACATTTTTCAAAAACTAAGAAATGAAAAATTAAAAACACTAAGAATCTTAATTTAAAATCAAAATTGTTTTGGTACTCAATTATTCTTGGTACCTAAGAGTCTAAGGACATGACCCATATCATTAAAGTTCAAAGCCCTTGGGTTATGAACCCTCTTGGGCACATTTGGTGCACGAACACGGTCAAAACAAAAATTGTATAAATGACCCTTCCAGTTGCAATAAGTGCAATGAAAGGATTGAAATGATTTGTGTTTACCAAACGGTTGTGCACATGACTCATTTGTAAAAATAAGTTCTTTAAAATTATTTTGCAAACGAGAAACTTCATAAAACAAAGGTGGTCTTTTTGGAACATTTTGCAAAATAGGAGTTTTTTGCACATCAAAATAAAATTTAGGAAGATGTCCAAACCTATCACAAACATCATATTTAAAACATGTGGTCTACTAGAATTATTTGACAAACTAGAATTCTTTTTTAAATCAAAGCAAAACTTTACCAAATAGCCAAACCGACCACATAGATCACATTTATACACATGAGCATACTTATGATGAACTTTATGTGTGTGTGCATGTACATGTGTGTGATGATGAAGCTTGATGAGATGCACAAAAAGAATTAATATGAGCCTAAGTGGGTTTATGTGCATCATAGCAAAATCTAGCAAGATGGCCTTTACGATCGTAATTTGTGCATTTGTAGACTTTGCTATACATGTGTGCATGATGCATAGGATGTTTAGATGTTTTAGAATGAGACTTAGCACACATGTCCATAAGCTTTTTGTTATTAACAATACATGTTTTAAGGGTTGAATCTAAAGATGATATGCGATCCCTAACATGATTCAAGTCATCATTATGCATACAAGTATTGTTATTAGAATCAGAAGAAACAAAAGCATTTACAAGAATATCCAATTGTTTTCTACTAGCTTTTACTTCTAAAATGGCATTGTTTTTGTCATGAGCCAAGTTAGCAATATCTAATTTTAAATTATTATTTTTTAAATTTAGCATATCATTGTTTACTTTAAGAGCAATATTTTTTTTAGTAATGATATCAAATTTGAAAGCTAACTTCTTATGATCGGATTTTAAATCTGCATGCTTGCTTTTTAAATCTAAAAAGATATGATACAAATTGTTGTAGGCATGCAATAATTTTTCAGAAGCACAAGCAAGTTCATCACTAGATAAATCATTATTGGATTCGAACTCACTTACCACACTAGGATTATCCCCTAGTGGACGTGTGCATGATGCTCCTTTAGAACTTAAAGCGGGATCCCTTAAAGCTTGTTGGATCGTCTCCAAGTCACCATGATATGTCTCGATATGTTTCCATAATGTATATATACTATCAAAACAAGCAAATTTATTAGAAATAGATGTATCAAAAGTGTTTGGCAAGAATTCTAACAAAAGCTTGTTCAAAACAAACATTCTTTTATCATTTGTGCTCCAAATAGATTTATCTAATTTGGGCACAACATATGTACTATCAATAATTTCTCATAAATCAAAATGTTTAGATCTAACAAATATTTTAAATCTAGAATACCATTGGGCATAAGGAAAAGCATTGATAGAAGGAGCAATATTAGGATCATAGCCTAAACAAGATGCATAATGCATGTCCATAACGTATATATGTGCAAGCAAGATATAAATGAAATCAAAACAAGATTAGCAATATAAGATAACTTGGATTTTTAACTCAAGACGATTCAACCTTAAATCAAAGAACACCAAGCTCTGATACTAATTGTTAGATCCTAATGTCACTAGGAAAGAACCTTAGAGGGGGACGGTAAATAAGGTTTATGCTAATCTAATTTAATTTAATACCAATTAAAACTAATTAACAAGTTATCCTACCAAATAAGATGTACAACAATTATATGCAAGGATAATCAATATAAACAAAGGGTAAAATAAACAAACTACAAATGCGATAGTGCAATATACACAAAGAGTAATAGACAATGACGATATAAGATAAATACAAAAAAAAATATGTCAATGACAAACTCAAACACAAGCAAATGATCACAGAGTTCGTACCTTCCGTCCTACGTCTCCGTTCCCCACTTTCGGGAAGAAATCCATTATCACACCGGGTTTTCAACGTTCGCCCGAAAACGTTTACACCATACAATATCGATTTTTAACGCTCACTGATCAACGTTCACAATCACTCACAATGTAACTATACAACTACCACCTTAAGTGTTGACCTCTCACGTGTCTCCCTCAAGTGCTGAGAATTATTACCTCTCAGTAGGCTTTACTATCGACGAAACTCCTCTTAGGACCGATCACGTCTCTTACCTCTACACTCCTCTTGGTGTACTTGTGCAATACAAAGTGAATCCTCATAATTAGGCTCGATACAATAAATATTTGTTCTCTACTATGGATGAGAACACAATGAAATCTCACATTCTAAGTCACAAATCAACAATCCCAAATTATACTATTTATTCAAATACAACAAGCTCAATGGTTGTGTGTGAACAAAGAAAAAATCAAATATAAACTCAATGTAAACACTAGCTTAATGAAGATGATAAATAACAAATAATTAATGTAAAGCTAGTGTTGAGTTTAGAAATTCTTCTCTGAAAAACAAGATGGAGAGACGGAGATTGAAGCTCAAACAATGAAGATGATCTCCTCCACTTGTAAAAACTTCTTCACAAACCAAACAAACACTAAAACAAACTTAAACCCTTGTTAATTTTTTGTAAAGTTGTATAAACAATTTTCTTAGATAATAATAGAGCTGGGTATAATGGGGTATATATAGGAGACCACAAAATACAAGAAAAACCCAGCAAAAAAACAAAAAACCCAAAAAGCAAGGAGTGAAAAACTAGCCGTTATGCAGTTATAAGTCGACTTGCTACAGTAATAAGTCGACTTGTAACTAGTCGTTACAATCAAAAAATCAACCCATAAGTCGACTTGTGTTGTTTGATAAGTCGACTTGGCAGCGACAAAATGAACATTCCAGAGCATTTCATAAGTCCACTTATCAACCCTGATAAGTCGACTTATGAACATGCACAGAGGCTGTGCATGTCCAAAAATTAACTTAGAAACCTTAATTAAAAATAGCAAATAAAATCAGAAAAATATAAAATTTTGGAAAATGTTTATAAACATGTTAATAAACATGTTACAAAAAGAATTTTTAGAATTGTACTTCCCAATAGTGAAAACTCATCATTTTGCAAAAATGTCCAAAAACATGAAAATACAAAACACTTGTTTTTGTCATTTTGACTTAAACAAACTTTTGAAACCTTATAAAATAATTTTATAGACTTAATAAAAGATGTATGTAATGATTGTTAAGTCCATAAATCAAATAACACAATATTTTCATAAAAACACCTATATTTTGATAAAATCAATAAATACGTGTGTATGATATTGAGCTTAGAGTATTAAACACACATAATATAAAACCTAAACTAAAAATACCCAAGCTGTGTGTATGATATTGAGCTTAGAGTATTAAACACACATAATATAAAACCTAAACTAAAAATACCCAAGCTTGATGTTCTTCAATATGATTAGAGTATTAAACACACATAATATAAAACCTAAACTAAAAATACCCAAGCTTGATGTTCTTCAATATGATTCGACTTGGTAAACTTGGATGAAGCTTGAACTTGAATCTTTGACTTGAATTGCATTGCTTCATACCGATATTCCACCAACCTCCATTGGATATGATCTTTTGAAGAGCAATTCCATCCAACCACCGACATGGATATTTGTGTAGATTACCTAACAAAACAAATACAAACACTCGACACAAGTTGTTAGGAATTGTTTGTAATTATCAAAACAAGATTAGGGAATAGGCTCATAAACATGAGGCCAACAACCACATGATTTAGAGATCCATAAATTGACCAATCATTGTTTCTGCAAAAATGGTTGTTCTCGTGTAGATACTGTTTCTGCAAGGTATAGTGGTAAATTACTTTTTTACTCGAAATTATTATAATTATTCTTTGCAGTACTTAGGGTGGAAGATTTTAAAAAAAATATACAATTGTGTTTATTAAAACTAATAATTACTAGGTGTCAGCTTATGAAGGTTTGAGACCATTATTGGCCAAATTGTTTTTTCTACCTATTAGCCTGATTAACTATAGCATTTTACTTGTCAGGCAAAGTTCCTATTTAATTCGTGACTAGCTACTTCAACTTTTCTTTCTTTGTGTATAATAACAACAGCAAAGCTTTTATACCGATTTTTTTGGTGCTGGCTACATGTATGTTTGGTTTTGTTAAAGACTATCTCCTATGTTGAGCTAACCAATATTATATCCTTCATAATTGCTTCTAACCAAGTCATTTCTAACATACCTCTAGTCTTCTTTGCTCAATTAATTTTGTCTATTATACTTTTCTCTACAACTCAATTTTTTATTAAGATTTATTAATTAAAAACATGGCGAAATGCCTGTCTTTTCTCTAACATTAATTCTGTGAGTTTGAAGCACAACAGTAAATGAGTGCCATTTATGTGGTTATCTTTTGATTGAAGCTTGGAAAAATTGCAATTTGAAATTTTAAATATTATAGTTATTTTAGTTTATATGATATCTAACCCAGGAGCCTCTGCAGATATGTCCGCCTAGTTATGGCCAAGTTGCAATCAGATGATCCACAGGAGATAAAACGTCTGCACCCTAGGTAATATAATTTGTTGCTATAGATGTGCCTGCTAGTTCAAATATTTGTATTCCAGCATGAAATTATATATATGAAAGTGAGAGAGATGAGATAAGGAACAGGGATGTCCCTATCTGGCCCTCGTTTTGGAGATTGGGTCATTAAAGTTGTATGATTTTTCCAAGTAGCATCTATCTGTTACCCTAAATTACAAAGCCACGCGTTGTCCCTTTACTGTGAATGAGGTTCCTAACCTCCAGATATTTACTACTACAGGTTTTTTGAACTCAAGGTTTTGCATGGCATTGAAGATGAGAAGCCATCGAATGGACCTGCAGGCCCTCAAAAAATGGCTTCTGGACTGCTCTGTATGCTCTCAGGCATCATTAATGAGTCACTCTAGAAGAGTCAATTCTTTTCATTATATATATTTTGTATGTTAATGTGCAGGTATGACATTGAAATGTGTTGGAGCTTCAATTGCTGAGAAGTCGCCTTTGACAAAAAAATTGCCACCTACTACTACCGTATGTATCTGTCTCTAGATTGCATGCATGTATATTTTCTTATTTAAAATATATTATGGCTTGAACTATGCTATAAAGTTATGATGACCACCTGACAACCATATTATCTCAGAATGTTAGTAGTTATTTGGCTCTAACTTCTTTTTATTTGACTGTTTGTTTATGTTTTCCTTGGATATGGAAATTAGGTAGGCAAGTTGAAGGTACTATGCGAGAGCTTCTTTAAACTTAAAGGAATGAAGCTAAGACTGTTTGTTGAAGAAGAGGTATGTATTTGGTGCTTGATTTATCCTTTTAGGTGGTGCTTGGCAAGGGGTTAAGAGAGGTCTGGTTAATTCCGTTTGGCTTTGATAATTAGCGTGAAGGGTTAATGCTTGTGTTTGGCAAATAAAGAAGAGTCAAGTAAGTTAAAGTCTCTAATATTTTAAAAAAATATATGAATTTTAACCTTATTATATGTGGGAAGTTTACTAATAATTATTGCATTTGATAAATTCAGCTTGTATTTTCAAAGCTATAAATATATAAGTCATTTATGTATTTTTTAAATAAATGATTGTTGAAAAGACTAAAAAAATACTGTTAAATTAGAAAAATAATAACTTATGGTTACATAGGGATAAAACTATATTCGTTCTTACCATAAAAATTAAATTAACATTTTTGCATGAAATTAAATGCTAGAAGGAATAATGATCTAGCATGATTTTAGATAGGCTTTTGATTAATCATTAAATCTCAATAGAAATTTGGTTATTCAAGAACAAAAGCAATAAATGGATTGATAGTACTACATATAAATTCTAATTTTTCCAATATTCAGAAAATAAGAAAATTTACATGTAAATTTAAGATTACATGTAATTCAACCTTGATACACATTAATATGCGGCATACTCAGCCAGTATCACTTATTTCATGGGTGAAAAGCAATCCTACTGCAAAATTCATCGTGTTATTCGTAGCTATTCGATATCATTATATGAGAATTATAAAAGAAAAATTAATCAATTGTATATTGTATAGGATACTATACATGTATAATTTAGATTTATAGGAACAAGCTACAGCATTTTTTTGATAACAAAGTTCATCGTTTACTTTTTTCTTATCTCCTTACACGTACAAGAATTATATTTTAGTAACAACTTCTGATAGTTGCTATAGATAGGCGGATGGTTCAGTAAATGACTTAAAAAAAAATCAAGCTAACAAAAAGAACACGTTTCCTAGTTTTTAAGAAATTACTATTCTTATCCTTAGTGAAGAGGCGGAGTACATTCTTACTTCGCCTCTTCACACGGAACTTTAGCCCGCCAAATAATGGGCTAACTTCCAGTTAAGCCTCAAGTGCGGCTTTACTAGACCTTGCTCAATTTTTGATATTTGGGAGGTTAAGCAGGGGTTAAAGCCCTGTTAAAGCCCTTTAACCCCTTCATTAACCCGTTGCCAAACAAGGCCTTAGGGTATCTACATCTGTATCTTTATGATAATATACTTGATCTCGAGCTTATTACATTTGAGATGTTTACTACAGAAAAAAAAAATCTTAAAATTAAGGGCTCCTTTTTTTATATTTTTCTTTGACACTTCTTTGCAAGGTGGTTTTGTTTTTTTTCATGAGGTCAGTTTTATTTAGTTACTTCAATATTGATATTTACTTTTTGATATAGTCAGTCCTACATCAAAAAGGGCAAGGGGGTGCCCTCCAATTCTGCTCGCCGCTTATTACATACGATAAATTAACGAAAACTCCCTAATTTTAAAGGTGAACCTAAGGGAATGTCTGCATATGTATTATACTATAACTTCAGCTAAAAAAAAAACTTAAAAGTCTCTTTCTTACCTATTCGCTACTAATAAGGTACATCAAATTTCTAGTACCCTCCGTTAGAACTTCTTCCGCTATGTAACAAGCATGAAGGGTCGATAGCCTAATTTTTACTGGTTTTTAATAGGGATCACCATTACCGCAATTGCTGGATGATGATATGGCAACTTTAATAGATCTCGGAATCACGTCAGGATCAACCATTCTGCTGGATGAAGAAAGTTAAACAGCACAATGCTTAAAGAAACCGGGCTTCTGCTTCCCTGAAGCACCATAACCTCTGGCCTCAGAAACACTAGCATTTAGATTTTGTTACTTGAGCAAGTGGCGTGTATATCACTAAACTATTTATGTTTGTCTTTGTGCATACATATGGTGATATGTCTACACTGTATATGAACTTGTATAATATTCACACATTTTCCTTTGATACTAAATCTTTACTGAGCCGGAGGGCTGAATGAAAGAAATGGCTGATGTTATGCGGATGAAGGTTTATGGAAAGATGAACGTGTAAGATATTCTTGATCCTTTTTTATTTTTTTTATTACTTGTATGTGAATGGATGGAATGTTGTGATGTTTTGGGCTATCTGTAATAATGATGTGGAATAATATGTATGAGATGCCGGCTCTTTTTGTTAAATGAGCTACGAGAGATAGGCTAGTGGTGATGCCCATCATACATGTTGCATTAGAAGACATGAATGTTACCACTCTATTTTTTAGTAACTTATTTTGCTAAATGACCAGTCATTTCATAACCATCAAACCCTAATAATTCATATAACAAAAATATTCACATTACGTCATCTTCCTATTGTTAGTACATGATTTCTCGGAAGACATATGCTTTACCTTTCTCGGAAGACATATGCTTTACCTCTATGAATTATATTGACCTTGAATGTTTCTTGATGCTTATAATATAATATTCTACTAACTTTTTGGAGATAGGATCAGAGCCCAATTTTGAAGCCAATAACTGAGTTTTGATTGAATTTTGACTTTTGGGTCGTATAGATCATTTGAGAGCAGAAGTTGGGCAAACAAATTTTTATCCCCATTGTACAATCAAAATGTTCATGTGCTAATATCGAATATGAGATGATCAAGAAAGATGTAAATATCAGAACTATGTACTAGTTTCTTAAAAGCCCAAACCTAATAAAAGGAATAAATTACCATGTGTTTTTTGTAATCTCTCTTAATCGGCTCAGTATTAGAAGTTTCTTTGTGACTTTTTGGTATTAAAAGTCCACTACTTTTGTATAGGCGTTTTTATTTGCCGCCAGTTAAAATTTAGGGAAGGTTTTGTCAATTTCAAAACACATTTACAGAAAAATATATATTAATTCAATTAAATACTTAACTATCCACATCTTCAAAACCTTTAAGAAATCTATAAATTTATTTATTTCAGGCATTTTAATCTAGTTACACAAGTCAAATAAAGTCACGTCTGCGCTCTAATAATTCTGAAATTTAAATCATGTGAGGTCACCTACAATTTTCCCGTCAAATATTTTTGATACCAGCGAAGAAAGTGCGAAAATTACACTAGATTCTATATTCGTAGCTTAAAATAGAAACATTTAGATAAGACAAAAGAATGACCATGGAATCTAAATTATTCCAGCCTAACACGGAACCAAATGAGGAAAAAAAGAACAAAAAAGAAAAAGAAAAAGAAAAGAAAAGAAAGCGAATGTCATCGCAGTCCACCACTAAAGGCCACCTGTCCTCTTCCTCTACTTTCTTCACACTTCAGAACATATCCCTTCCGTTAACAAAACCCTAACCAAACAAAATTGGATCATCAAATTTCCAATTTTTACCCAATCTCCTCCCTCTCAATTCTGAATGGAGCCCTCAACCGATCTCCAAGATTGGGAGCTCCTCAACGAATCAGACTCGGGCCCGAACCCTAAACCCAAACCCTGCGAACCCCTCGATTCCGATGATGGCGCAATCAACCCCGACTATTTCTCCCTCAGCCCGATCAAATCTCGGCAATCCGAAGACGAGATCGATGAGGGCGGCGTCGATTCCGATAACCCTAGCTGGCTCGACCCCGATTCGGACTCGAGGTACCACTCGATCAAGGATTCCAGGAGCTTCTCGTCCGATGAGTCGTCGGAGGAGCTAGGATTTGAGAAGAAGGAGGCGGTGGGTGATGGTGAACTGGGGAAAGATGGGAGCTTGGACGGGAGTGGGGTTAGGGTTTGGTGGAGGATGCCACTGGAGGTGCTGAAAGTTTGGGTTTTGAGGGCGAGGCCAGTTTGGTCAATCTCGATCGCGGCGGCGATCATTGGGGTTTTGATGCTTGGGAGGAAGCTTTATAAGATGAAGCAGAAGGGAAGGAGTATTCCGCTGAAGATTGCCATTGATGACAAGGTGAGAATGTTTGATTGCTCCTATTGCTGTTTTAACAATTTGAGGTGAGGGGCCAGTCTGGTATTGCTGCACTTTATAATATAAGTTGATTAAAGGTAGCTTATAGAAGTAACTCATATAATTCATTGAAAATAACAGTTTGGTAACTAATTATCAGAAACTGTTTAAAAAGTAGCTAAGTTGTTTGGTAAAACTGTGCTTAATAGGCATTGTTATAAGATAAAAGGTATATATGCTATATAAACTAAAAAAAAAAAGCTGTTTTTAAAAGCATCCTCAAATTGCTTCTAAAAGCACCCCCTTAAAAACAGAAGCAATTTCAATAAGTATGCTAAAACTTTTTCACCAAAACCATTATTGGGTGCTTTAAAAAAAATACGCAAAGCACCTAAAAAAGCAATGCTAAACTGGCCCTTAATGTTAAAATTAAGGTCTCACTACTTGATAGTTGATTATTGGTTTTTTTTAGATAATAGTCCCTTAAATCTTCAATAATTGTATATTAGTTCCTCAAATCTTAGAAATTGCATATTAGCCCCTCAAATCTTAGAGGATCTTGCAAAATGGCCCCTCAAGTTAAGTCATATTAGATTTGAGGGGAATATTCTCTCAAAGCGACTTTATCCCTCTAATATGATCCCTAACCCATTCCTTAATAGGCTTAAACCCAATAGCCACTTAAAACAAACCTAAATCCACTTGCGTTCTTAACCAAAGTTGTTAGAAAAAAAAACCCTAACCCAAAGTTGAGCTTCACTAAGGTTTGAAACATCAGAGAGGGGGTAGTTTGGTGATTGCAAATGTTGGGTTTGGAGATAACTAATCCATTATTAGGTTTTTTAATTGAAATACTTACGAAGGGACTATTTTGCAAGACCTTATAGGATTTTAGGGGCTAATATGCAATTTTCAAGATTTGATAGACTAACATGGAATTATTGAAGATTTAAATATCTTTAAAAACCCTTGATTATTTTGCACTACATAAGTTTTGATAGCCTCTAATAGCCATGGAACATCCTCACAGTATGTGCTCAATAGCAAAGGTGGAACTAAGTAATAGCGTATAGAAGAGAAAACTACAAGATCAAAGACTATCCTTAAATTTTGCAATCCTTTTGATGGATCTTACTCTTTACTCAGTTCTGTTAGTGTCTAAAATATCAGTCAGTATATCAATATATCGGTCGATGTATCAGGTTCTACGGCAGCCCGCAATGATATTTACATGTTTATAGCGTATTTTGGTTTTGAGTTTTTTCCCGATATATAGGCCGATATATGATATATCATTATATCCCAATATCCGTGGATATTTTTTTAAGGTTTTTTTGGGTTTGGGTTTGGTTTTAGGTTTCCAACTCGACCCAAAAACCAAATAAACCCTCCTTTTATTTTAGAAATCACAATCGATCTCACAAAAATCCTAACCCTTACAATTTCGGCATTTGCCTCTCTCTTGCTTCTTTCCCGCTTCTCTCTCTCGCTCTCCACCTATGGCCTTCCTCTCTTTTTCTGCACTCTCTTCTTTGCCCTCTCCTCCCTTTCTCTCTCTCTTTGCCTTTTTTCGCCCTCTCTAAAGGGAAGGAGTATTCCGCTGAAGATTGCCATTGATGACAAGGTGAGAATGTTTGATTGCTCCTATTGCTGTTTTAACAATTTGAGGTGAGGGGCCAGTCTGGTATTGCTGCACTTTATAATATAAGTTGATTAAAGGTAGCTTATAGAAGTAACTCATATAATTCATTGAAAATAACAGTTTGGTAACTAATTATCAGAAACTGTTTAAAAAGTAGCTAAGTTGTTTGGTAAAACTGTGCTTAATAGGCATTGTTATAAGATAAAAGGTATATATGCTATATAAACTAAAAAAAAAAAGCTGTTTTTAAAAGCATCCTCAAATTGCTTCTAAAAGCACCCCCTTAAAAACAGAAGCAATTTCAATAAGTATGCTAAAACTTTTTCACCAAAACCATTATTGGGTGCTTTAAAAAAAATACGCAAAGCACCTAAAAAAGCAATGCTAAACTGGCCCTTAATGTTAAAATTAAGGTCTCACTACTTGATAGTTGATTATTGGTTTTTTTTAGATAATAGTCCCTTAAATCTTCAATAATTGTATATTAGTTCCTCAAATCTTAGAAATTGCATATTAGCCCCTCAAATCTTAGAGGATCTTGCAAAATGGCCCCTCAAGTTAAGTCATATTAGATTTGAGGGGAATATTCTCTCAAAGCGACTTTATCCCTCTAATATGATCCCTAACCCATTCCTTAATAGGCTTAAACCCAATAGCCACTTAAAACAAACCTAAATCCACTTGCGTTCTTAACCAAAGTTGTTAGAAAAAAAAACCCTAACCCAAAGTTGAGCTTCACTAAGGTTTGAAACATCAGAGAGGGGGTAGTTTGGTGATTGCAAATGTTGGGTTTGGAGATAACTAATCCATTATTAGGTTTTTTAATTGAAATACTTACGAAGGGACTATTTTGCAAGACCTTATAGGATTTTAGGGGCTAATATGCAATTTTCAAGATTTGATAGACTAACATGGAATTATTGAAGATTTAAATATCTTTAAAAACCCTTGATTATTTTGCACTACATAAGTTTTGATAGCCTCTAATAGCCATGGAACATCCTCACAGTATGTGCTCAATAGCAAAGGTGGAACTAAGTAATAGCGTATAGAAGAGAAAACTACAAGATCAAAGACTATCCTTAAATTTTGCAATCCTTTTGATGGATCTTACTCTTTACTCAGTTCTGTTAGTGTCTAAAATATCAGTCAGTATATCAATATATCGGTCGATGTATCAGGTTCTACGGCAGCCCGCAATGATATTTACATGTTTATAGCGTATTTTGGTTTTGAGTTTTTTCCCGATATATAGGCCGATATATGATATATCATTATATCCCAATATCCGTGGATATTTTTTTAAGGTTTTTTTGGGTTTGGGTTTGGTTTTAGGTTTCCAACTCGACCCAAAAACCAAATAAACCCTCCTTTTATTTTAGAAATCACAATCGATCTCACAAAAATCCTAACCCTTACAATTTCGGCATTTGCCTCTCTCTTGCTTCTTTCCCGCTTCTCTCTCTCGCTCTCCACCTATGGCCTTCCTCTCTTTTTCTGCACTCTCTTCTTTGCCCTCTCCTCCCTTTCTCTCTCTCTTTGCCTTTTTTCGCCCTCTTTA